TCCTCTCTTCTATCTTCTCCCCTCACCTCACTTCTCCTCTCTTCTCTCTTCTCTTCTCTCCTCTCCTCTCCCCTCCCTTCCCCTCTCCTCTCCTCTCCTCTCCCCTCACCTCACTTCTCTCCTCTCTTCTCTCCTCTCCCCTCACCTCACTTCTCCTCTCTTCTCTTTTCTCTCCTCTCCCTCATCCTCCCCTCCCTTCTCCTTTCCTCTCCTCTCTTCTCTCCTCTCCCCTCACCTCACTTCTCCTCTCTTCTGTCTTTTCCTCTCCCCTCCCTTCCCTTCCCCTCTCCTCTCCTCTCTCTTCTCCCCTCCCCTCCCTTCTACTTTCCTCTCCTCTCTTCTCTCCTCTCCCCTCACCTGACTTCTCCTCTCTTCTGTCTTCTCTTCTCTCCTCTCTCCTCACTTCTTTTCCCTCCCCTCCCCTCTTGTCTTCATTTGGATGGTGTTCTGGACTCTTTTTCTATTCTGTGCCTTCTTTTCTGCTTTCCCTCATTGAAGCCTTTGGCTGCTTCTCCTCATGGAGGGATATCAACCAAGTGAACAGCTCCCTCAACTTTAGCTTGACTGGAACTGTTCTTTTACTTTCCAAACAGTCCTCAAGAACAGTCTATGTTGGTCGAATTCTAGCTAAGCAGCATCCTTGAGGACAACTTCTGTGTTGGGGGGATTAATTTTCCTTGTCCCTACAGCAACTTCCAAAGGGATAACACATTCAAATGTTTGCTTCAGCTGTTTCAGAACCTATAATTATTTATGCCAGTGCTCCGATTTGTGACTAATAAGTCAGTTGACTCTTTTAAGAGTTTCTATAAAAAAGCGTTTTCATAGAGTCCATTGTTGTCAATAGGCAGCTTAAAAACAATACCCTAAATCAGTGGTGTCAAACTCAATAGAGAGGGTGCCACGAATCTGTACATAAAGATCCCTGAAGTTGCCTGTTGACCTCATTTTAAAGTGTAATGTTATCTATGTTTTATTATATTTTTAAAAACATTTCCCAGTTACATTTTAATTTGGTTCAATGGCACTTGGGAGTGTTGTGGATCAATGGATCACATACTTGACACCTCTACCCTAAATATTTAATTTAGCATTTAGGATTCACGCTAATTCTAATTTTTGTATTATGTTACCTGTATCTCGGCAGTAAGCCTGTATCTGGTGCATGTTTTTAACTTTTGTTTATATGGAGATGGTGTCTGTCATTCAGGGGATCTGCATTTGTCTCTGCTATCACATCTTTTCTATTTTTAAACCCATCTAGAGATAAATTGCTTGATAATGATTTAGGATGTGAATTCATGTAACAGGTCATGAGTTTAAAGTGAATGTGTGTATGTGTGTGTAAGCCTGTACAAGTGAGAGAAAGAGAAAACAAAACAACATTAGGAATATAGATGTTTGGTCATGGGTGGCTTAAGTGCTGTATAAAGAAAGGCAGACTTTTCAAAAGACAAAAAGGACTGATTTGCAGAAAAAGACAAGTATATCTCCAAACTATGGGATGGCCCAATATGTCAAATGTCCATATTACTAGCTAGATATTGCAAGTTCAGATTCTTGATTGCAGAGTAGATCACAGCCTTCTGCAATGAAATGAGCAGATAGCAGGGATAAACTGATCAACAGCCCTAGAAAGTTGAAAAAAACCCTAACAATTCTTTTAAAAAATTATGAGCTAGAAAGAAAAAGGTAAGGAGAAAAAAGAGAGACTTTGTAGTGCTATGTCATTTTGAAGAGAAATGTGTGGAAGCAGTAAGTGAAGAGGTCTCCTTCTAGAAGTTTGGCAATTAGAGAGGGAGAGAGATGGATTATTTTGCCCTTCTGTTTCCTTGGGTTTTTGGTGTATGTGGGTAGGGTGTTTGTATTTCAGCATAGGGAAGACCTGAGCATGTTTGTAGAGAAAGGGAGTAGTAGAGAGGGAGAAATTGTAGACTTGAATGGCAAGAACTTCAGGGGAAAGGCAAGTTTAAATTGAAGGAAGAGCATTGCATAAGCCTGAGGATGTAAGGGAGTTTAAGGATGACAGCAGAGGTTCCAAAGGATGGAAGTGTAGCAAATGCCTCCTGGGAGGGGATGTGGGAAGACAGGGACACTAATGCATTGTTGGTGGAGTTGTGAACTCATCCAACCCTTCTGGAGAACAATTTGGAACTATGCCCAAAGGGCTATAAAACTGTGCATAGCCTTTGACCCAGCAATAGCACTTCTAGGTCTATACCCCAAGGAGATCAAAGAAAAAGGAAAAGGACCTATATGTACAAAAATATTTATAGCAGCACTTTTTGGGGTGGTAAAGAATTGGAAACTGAGGGGATGCCCATTAATTGAAGAATGGCTGAACAAGTTGTGGTATATGAATGTGATGGAATGCTGTAAGAAATGATGAAGGGGACAGTTTCAGAAAAACCTTTGAAGACTTATATGAACTGATGCAAAGTGAAGTGAGCAGAACCAGGAGAACATTGTACTCAGTAACAGCAATATTGTAAAGATAATCAACTGTGACAGACTTAGTAACAATGATCCACTATAACTCCAAAGTTAGCTACCTCCAGATAAAGAACAGATGAACTCAGAGTACAGAATGAAGCATATTTTTTCCCTTTATTTTTCTTGCTTTTTTTTTTAACATGGAAGATATGGAAATGTTTGCATAATTTCATATGTGCAATGGGTATCATATTTCTTGCCTTATGGAAGGGTTGAGGAAGAGGTGGAGGGAGAGAGAGAATTTGGAACTAAAAATAAAATCAAAAGAAACAAAACAAAAGCCTCCTAGAATGTGAGATGCCATCCATATCCTAACCTGTGCCCCTTCTATTTTTAACATTTTTGCCAGGTGATCTATCAGAGTGCCAATGACAAGGTCACAGTTATTGGAGCTGGAGTTACGCTCCATGAGGCTTTAGCAGCTGCTGTGGAACTTTCTAAAGAAGGTAATATATTAAGAACTAAGAACTGTATTACACACACAAAAATATTTTAAAAAGAATTATGTTACACATCTGAGTAAAGATAGCAAGACTTTGTACCTGAATTGGTACATGCCCTGGCTGATCTTTTTATTTTCACTTCCCTCATTCCCTAAATATCTGGCTGTATCTCTTAGCCCCCTTTCTGGTCTTTCAGGTATTTCTATCCGAGTAATTGACCTATTCACCATCAAACCATTGGATCAAGCCACAATCCTTTCTAGTGCCAGAGTAACAGAGGGGCGTATTATTACTGTAGAGGATCATTATAAAGAAGGTGAGAAACATTTTCACTCATGTTCCTGTCTGAAGGACTTTCTGGTAAAGTGGTACTGTGTATGGGAATGGTACTATAACATTAGGGTCACCAAAGCAAATAATGGAATTTCAAGGGAACAACATAAGAGATAAACCTCTAGCATGTAAATGGTCAGACAGAAAGTCTAGAACTAACGCTGATTTTGGAGACTGATTAAAACACACTAATTCTTTGAATTAAAAAAATGTTAAACTGGGCCCAGACGTTTTCTCATTGATCACTATTCTGGAGACTATTTGTTATACCCCCCACACCTAATAGGTTATATAGAGTGGAGATTTCAACAGGCAAAGTAGAATTGCTCCTAGAATTTGAAATGCCACTTACATAGTAACCTCTGTCTCTTCCATTTCTAACATTCTCGCAGGTCAGGGGTGGGAAACCTGTGGGCCTCGAGGCCACATATGGCCCTTTAGGTCCTTAAGTGCAGCCCTTTGACTGAATCCAAACTTCACAGAACAAATCCCCTTAATAAAAAGATTTGTTCTGTAAAACTTGGACTGTATCAAAGAGCTGCATTTGAGGATCTAGAGGACCACATGTGGCCTCGAGGCTGCAGGTTTCCCACCCGTCCCAGGTGATATGTCAGAGTGCCAATGAGTAGTCTCTGTAAAGGCTGAGAAATTTTATAGTAGTGTTATCAAGCCAACTTGGGCTCTTATGACTTTGTCCTCTCTTTTCTAGGTGGTATTGGGGAAGCTGTGTGTGCAGCTGTTTCTGGTATGCCTGGCATCAGTGTTCATCAGCTGGCAGTATCTGGGGTGCCTCGAAGTGGAAAACCTGCAGAGTTGCTTGATATGTTTGGTATTAGTGCCAGATATATCGTAAATGCTGTGAAATCAATTGTGGCCAGCTAAAAAAAAAATCAGCATTGTCAGTTTTAGTTTAAGAAGTTGACATCTTTGTGGAGTTTTTGAAGTCACAGTTTCAAAGGTGTAGATTTTGTTGTTTTTATTTGCTTTTTTAAGGACCAGGGCAGGTAACACGTTTTCTGTTGATTCTTCAGCAGCTCTAGGCTCATTCATTTCTGGTTAAAGTGTTTACTGTGCATAGAAATGCTGCAATAACTTTTCACTACATAGTGTATAAGTGTTCTGATAAGAAGTCTAGAAGTAATGGGAGTTGGGGGGAGAGAGAGAGGAGAGAGAACCAGTCTCTTAAGTAGATGTGCATTCTTATTTTATTTGTAATTTCTAAAAGTGTGAATTTGTGCGTGCACACTGAACAGTGTAGATGGCAAAGAAATTCTGCTATTCTTTTTTCCCCAGTTCAAACTTTCTTAAAACACTAGCATACATGTAACTTCCTGAATAGTAGACTAATGAAGTTGCCTCTCACTTTTCATAAACTGTTTGCCTTCATTTCAGGTCTAATTTTCTGAGGCCATAAAACAGGAATGAGAGCTTTCATGATGCACGGCTTCCCTTGCTGTATTCCTTTTGCCATATTCCTTCTGTGAGGAGATTATACAAAACAAACAAAAACCAACCCATTAGTTCTGATCCATCTCTGCCATCTTGTGGTTTTTATGTCTTGTGAGCTCTCCTGTTTCACTTTCTAAGTGTCCATGCTAAGACTACTTACTTAATTATAGAAGCACACTTGAGGACATGAGTCAACAATAAAAAGCCATTAAACAAGTGATGTTACTTTATTGTTTTGGAAACTTTTCATTCTTGATTTAGGTCAACTTTCATTTTCATCTCAAGTGGATGTTTCTACCGGAGAGTAGAAAAACGATGTTTTAGCAATTGCTAATCAAGATTTTTTTTCTTTAAAGCCTGAAAGAAAAAGGGGTTTTTATTTTTTTTCCAAAAAGTTAAACTGAATAATTGTTGCATATTTATAATGACCTTGAATGTCCTTCCATGTGCCTCTTTGAAAGTGGCATATACATGGTAAGGATCCATACTATTAAGCAGTGTTTTGATTGAGCACAGGACAAAGGTGGAACCTATACCCAGGATTTTCTGACTCTAAACCTGGTCACTCTATCCACCATGCTCTGGCAAGCCATGCTGCCTCTCATATTTAAATAATGCTCTCCTGGTTTTTTTTTTTCCCTATGCCCTTTGGTTCTTGTTAGTATTTTCACCTTGGGCCCTACAGTTGGTTAACTTTTAAAACCAAGGATACATGAAGGTTGGCTACTATTCTAAGTAGAACAAAATGTGTACATGTATAAAGCAGATGTAGCCATATAATTTTTGGGCAGCTATGTGGTGCTGCAGTGGACAGAGTGCTGGGCCTAGAGTCAGGAAAACTCCTCTGAGTTCAAATCTGGCCTCAGACACTTACTGGCTGTGTGACCCTGGGCAAGTCACTTTACCCTATTTGCCTCAGTTTCCTATCCGTAAAATGAGCTGGAGAATGAAATAGAAAACAATTCCAGGGGCAGCTAGGTGGTGCAGTGAATAGAGCCCCGGCTCTGAAGTGAGGAGGACCTGAATTCAAATCTGGCCTCAGACCAAACACTTGAGCTTACTAGCTGTATGACCTGGGGCAAGTCACTTAACCCCAGTTGCCTGGGGGGGAAAAAAAAAAGAAAACCACTCCAGTATCTTTGCCAAGAAAACCTCAAAAGAGCTCATGAAGTTGGACACAACTGAAGAACAACAAAAAACCATATATTTAAGGTTTGTAAAGTTCTTGACATACATTATTTCATTCGACACTCACAACAACCCTTGTTTAAAGTAGGTGCTTTTTATTTTATAAAAGAGGAAATTAGGGGCAGCTAGGTGGCACAGTGGATAGAGCACCAGCCCTGACTGAGTTCAAATCCAACCTCAGACACATAACACTTACTAGCTGTGTGACCCTGGGCAAGTCACTTAACCCTGATTGCCTCACAAAAAAAAGAAAAAAAAGAGGAAATTGGAGCTGAGCTTACCGAACTCATTTCCCAGCCTGGTCTTGTTGACTCCAGTGCCAGCACAGGATATTCTACACTAGGATTCCTTTTTTCTAGCCCATTAAAGATATTCTTCTTTCTCAAGTCCAAAGCTGTTAAATGATAAAGGTTGTTATGAATAACATTTTCAAGGAATTCACCAACAGCCTCAATGGTGGCATCTGCGGTTATGTTATTTACTGGAAGCAAATAAGACTCCTTGTGTTTGCTTGTGCAAGCCTTGCACAACTTTAGTTCAGCCATCTGTGGGAGACCAGTTAAGGTGAAGATAAACTAACTGTTGTTGTCTTAGAAGAAATGGGCCGCAGAATGGGTAACTCAACTGTGTACAACTCATGTTGGCTCTGGCAGTAAGAGTGTTCATCAGTGCCCACCCAGTTTTAGGTGCTATCAGGTCAGGGAAGACAGACTACGTGAGAATGGGTTGTTTAACTCAAGGAACTCACTTGTTACCTTTGTAAGCAATGCTAATGGAAGACTGGGTGAAAGCCCACACTTTGCTTTCCATTTTATTCTTCCAGAGACTTTCTAATTGGGAGGCAGGGTAGGTCATTTGGGAAATAAAAATGACCAAGGCTTCTGAGGGAAGAATGGGCATGAGCTATCTATCTGTTCCATAGGTATGGGGAACAGCTTTCTCTAGTTTGGGCAAGATGCCCCCAGACCTTGCTCATTTCACCTCTAACCTGACTATTCATTGAGTAGCCAGGATTCAGGTACTTCTTCCTAGCTAGCTGAAATCTCGAAAGATATCTTGGGGTTTACAGGCTAGATTTCTTTCTTAAGGACCATATCTTAAACTCAAATCACTCTGGCTCTCATTGATCGGCCAACAGTAGGTCCCAGGCCAAGCCCCACTTGGCCATTGTTTGGGCCCTGATTGGCTCAGAGTAAATGTACAATTGTTTCTGTTTTGGCTAGAAACCCCGAGGGTCTTCCCCTCCCAGATTGATTTTTTTTTTTGGACTAGGTCATAGGTTCCCAAAGTGGGCAAAACCACTCCTTGGGGAGTGCTGGAAGGATCCAGGGGGCAGTAGTAGCTTTGGGTGCAAATTGGGGAGGTGTTGAATTAAAATAAGGGGGCGGTAGAAGCATGAGGAAAGAAGAAAATTTTGAAAAACCGTTCATACATGTTTCATCTGTTGTGTAACCAAGTTAAAGTCGTAGTAATTACATTATTTTCCAAATAAACACAGAAAATATATTATTTTCCAAATAAACACAGAAAATACAAGCTATAACTGATCAGTGGTCAAGTCTGCCAACAGGTCTTAGCAAGCAAGTGTTGCGAATTGTCAAGAAGTCCAGCATTCATCAGCAGGAATGTGTTCCATGTAATGACTTGTTTACAACATGATACTTTATGGTTACATGATATAATAGTGCATCATCAAAATTTCAATGCAGGAAAAACCCCACAAATTTACAATAAATTATTAAATTTAAGATGTGTCATTTAAAACACACATATATATGTTTTTGAAATGATGCAAATTTTAAAAAAGTTAAAGGATTAAAGAAAGATTTCCAGGTGGGTGTTGGGTAATTTTTTTTCTTTGAAAAAGGGGCGGTAGGTCAAATAAATTTGGGAACCTCTGGACTAGGTAAAAGAGGCCATTCTCTGCCTTATATCTTATCTAGCCTTAATCACTGAATGGGCATTGCCTCAGTCAAACTGAGACCTGTTAAAGACCTTAGCTTAAAAAGGCCAAGGTCTCTCATTGCATCCTGGGCCATCTCTAGTCATCCTGATCTCTATCTGGCCACTGGACCCAGATGGCTCCCAAGGAGAAAATGAAGCTAGTGACTGAATAGCCCTCCCTCACTTAAATCCAATTCACTAGCATGTCATGACATCACCTCCCAGATGTCCTGGTTCTCTTCCAGAACAAAGGATAAACAACAACAGCTGTGACCTAGGGTGGACCCATTTAGTCAGTCTCTCTTGAACCTTTACCTATCTCTGTAGGCTTTGTGAAAACAAAATGAAATGGATGTGATGGGTTTTTTTTTTTTTTGCAACAATCTGTGATTTCATCCATGTGGTGAATTTCTGGTGTGGAAACTCCACAGATTAACAAGGGAGAGAAGAGAATGAGCATTTATTAAGCCCTTCCTATGTGCCAGGTGCTTTACAAATATCCCATTTGATCCTCACAACAACCCTATGAGGTAGGTGCTATTATCTTCTCCATTTTACAGTTGAGGAAGAGGTTAAATGACTTGCCCAGGGTCACACAGCTAGTAGTATCTGAGGCCACATTTGAACTGGGTCTTCCCAACCCTCCACTGTGCTAGGCAGCTTCTCTAGCAGAAACTCATTTGTTCCTTAATAATCTTACAGGCAACTTGGCAGAGTGAATTGAATACTGGACCTGGAATCAGGAATCCCTGAGTTCAAGTCCCACCTCAAACACTCGGTTTCCTTATCTGTAAAAAGGAGAATAATAATTGAACTTATGTCAAGGGATTGAGGTAAGGATCAGATGAGGTAACGTATGTAAGATGCTTTGCAAACCTTATGCAGAAGTCTGAGCTCTCTTTAAGGGGTTACCTAGAGCACAGAGAGTTTTGTTTTTGTATCTGTTATCTCCAATGTCTAGCACAGAGTAGGTACATAATAAGGGCTTGTTGATGGATTTGATGGCTATACAGCTAGTGTGTTAGAGACCCTCTTAAACTCAGGTCCTGTGGAGTCCTAGGACAGCTCTCTAGCTACTGTCCCCCACTGCACCAGTGTTGTGGTGCATCTCCCCTAAGTGAGATGTTCTGAGATTCCTTTAAGAATTTGGCCCCATTCTGCCACCCTCCCAACGGACGTCCACTCCTCTAGTGGGGTCAGCATCCTTATCCTTGTGATCCTTCTCTGGGGAGCCTGGCAGAGGGCCCTATCCTAACTCCTAGGGGGTCGGGGATCTCTCCAGAAGTTACAGTCAGCATGTCTCATCTGGGCCTTGGATCACATACTGCCTGAATCTTTTTCCTGTATATGCTATAGTTTCTACAACAACCACAGGGTCTCTCACTTGCACGGGGTCCCCTAACTCACCAGCCCCCTTACCCCGTTCTTAGACCTCATAATAATCGGGCCAATTATACTAGCACATCATGAACCCCCAACCCAAGGGGCCAGGGCCAAGGCTCCGGCTATCCTACAAATGCGCCCCTCCACCCTACCGTCCGGGGCTTCGTCCCCACCCCCCAACGAGCTTGGTCTCGCCCCAAACAGTCGCCACTCGGGGGACTGCGCAGGCCTCCCGCCAGCTTCTGGGCCCCTTTCCCACCCTCGACTCCTTCCCCATCACGTCCGACTGCCGGGGGCGGGACAAGGCCTCTGAGGCTGGTCCAGACCTGACGAAAATAGGGCCGACACTGCGGATAGACCATCGCACCCAGCGAAGCACTGCGGCATTGCGGGGGAGGGAGTTGGGTGGGCCAGAGAGAATGCGTTTCTAATTGGTTCCCTCGACGGCGGCCTTCACCAATCGGTTTTCCTGCTCTCCGAAAGGTATGCTGGGGGGAATGGGGCGAGAGAAGGGGGCGGGACAAGCGAGCTGGCGAATCAGTGGCCTCGATGTGGCCCGAGGGGACCGTTAGGCGCTAGTGGAGTTTCGAACTACCGCTCAGGCTTGAACGGGCTGAGAGAGTGGCTGCAACGGCTTCGGGAGGTATGCTAGTATGTACAAGTAGGGAAAGCTAGCTCCAGGCTAGCCATCCCACTTGGCCCACTCTTTTCCCGAGCCTGAACAGTATAAGGAAGGCGAATCTGGCCCTTCAGCCTTGGGTGGAGCTCCAAGGGGGGGGCGGGGGAGGGGGCGTGGCTCACACCCTAGCTCCGCGCAAGCGCACTAGCGAAAACCGCGGCTGCAGTCCACGCGGCTGCGCCGGCTACCTGTGGCTGTCAAGTCAGTCCGCCCACGTCTGCCTAGGCTGCGGGTTGGAAGGCTTGCCCCACCCAGGTAAGAGGAAAAGCAGCCGCGCAGCTTCTTTTGGTCTGACATTCGGAGGCCCTCATGAAAAGGTAAGGCGGCAGATTGGGGCATGAGGGGGGCATAGATGCTTGTTAATTGATCCATAGCCACAACCTCGTCCCAGCCTCCCCACCCAAGGTGGGGTGGGTTCATAGCACAAGAGACTCATTTTTCTCATAAAACCTCCCAAACCATGAAAACAACTGGATTGGACATTGGCCTGGATTGGCACAGTGCCTGGCACATAGTAAGTCTTAATAAATGCTTGTTGACTTTTATTTACCAACAGCCTCCTTTTTCGAGACCTCCCTTCTCTCTCCACCCCCCCCCCCCCAGGTAATATTCCTTCCCTGAGACGTAGAAGGAAATGGCTGGAAAGTTGCAATCCTCTTCAATCTCTATAGCCAGCAAAATCCTATCGTCTTTAACCTGTAGCTGCCAGTCAGTCAATAAGCATTTATTAAATCCCTACTACGTGCAAAAAAAAAAAAGGCAAAAGGCTCAAGGAGATCACAATCTAAGGGGGAGAGACAATAAGTAAACAAATATGTATAAATAAGCTGTATACGGGATAAATAGGAGATAACAGAGGGAAGGCACTAGAATTAAGAGGCGTTGGGGAAGGCTTCCAATAAAAGATGGAAGCCAGTAGCCAGAGATGGGAAAAGAGCTTTCCAGGCATGGGGGATAGCCAGAGAGAATGCATGGAGCCAAGAGATGGAGGGAGGCTTCTTGTTCCTGGAACAGCCAGGAGGTCAATGTCTCTGGATCGAAGAGTATGGGAATGAGGAATAAGAGAAAATGTCAGGTAATTAGATGTAAGAAGCCTGGAAAGGGAGGAAGGAGCTAGTTTATGAAGGACTTTGAATGCCAAAAAAAGGATTTTGTATTTGATCCTGGAGGCATTTGGAAGCTTCTAGAATTTGAGTAGGAGAGAGTGTTACGGTCAGACCTGCGCTGTAAGAAAATGTTTTTAGTGGCTGAACAGAAAAGGGATTGCAGTGGGGGCAGCAGATATACCAGCAGGCTATTGCAATACATAATGAGGCCCTGCAACAGGGTGGTGGCAGTAGCAGAGCAGAGAAGAGAGCATGTCTAAGAGCTGTTGCTAAGGTAAAATCTACAGTCCTTGACAACAGACTAGATATGGGAGGGGTGAGAGATAGTGAGGAGTGGAGGATGACTCCTAGGTTTCAGCCTGAAAGGCTGAGAGGATGCTGCTGCCCCCTACAGTAATAGGGAAGGGAGGAATAGGGAGGGTTTGGGGGAAAGCTAACGATTCAATTTTGAACATGTTAAATTCAACGTATTTAAGATGTCTACCTGGCATTTGAAGTGTCAAGATTGGAGGTCAGCAAAGGGATTAGGGCAGGATAGGTAGATTTAGGGATCCTCCAGGTAGAATAGTAATTAAGGGGAGGGTTTAGGGGGAAAGATAATGATTCGGGCTTTTGAATATGTTGAGTTTAAGATGTCTACTGGCATTTGAAATGTCAAGATTGAAGGTCAACAAAGGGATTGGAGGAGGATAGGCAGATTTAGGGATCCTCCTGGTAGAGATGGTAATTAAGGGGAGGGTTTAGGGG